TGATCACACAATCGGGCTTTGTCACGTTCATTTTTCTCTCTCTCTCTCTCTCACTCTCACTCTCACGCACACACACACACACACACGCACGCACTCTCTCTCTCTCTCTCTCTCCTGCATTCTCCCCCATTTTCCCCTGGCCAGGCCCTGGGGAATTACATGGGCGCCCTGAGGGAGGGGGGGAAGGGGGCTTTTTTTTTTCGGGGTGCTGGCGCGACGGCGCGACTCCCCAGTCCCGCCCCTCGCCGCCGCCTCGAGGTTCGAGCAAGCGACGGCCGCGGTGCGATCCGCCCGAGTCGAGCGAACCCAACTGTGAGAATCCGATGTCACGTGGAGTTCGTGGTTGGCGCCGGCTCTGGTCACGTTGTAGGAAAGTTCGGTTTCTGGTGTCTCTCGCTGGGCATCTGATGCAGTGCCCCTGCTCCTTCCCGCCTCCCTTTCCGCCCCCAATCCCCCCTCCTCTTACCACCCGCTCTCTCCTCCTCCTCGTCGGTACGCCAAGCTGTTCTCGCCCGATTTCAAGGAATTCTTGAAGATGGCCCTGCCGCCGCTGAGGGTTGGGCCCCAGGGGCCCTTCCACCCCCCGCCCATGGAGGTGGGCGAGCCCGACGCTGAGTTTACGATGTCACGAGGAGGTCGTGGTTGGCGCCGACTCTGGTCACGTTGCAGGAAAGTTCGGTTTCTGGTGTCTCTCGCTCGGCATCTGATGCAGTACCCCTGCTCCCTGCTCCTTCTTCCCACCTTCCGTTTCTCCTCCCTCACCTTGCCCCCAGCCCCCCCTCCTCTTACCACCCACTCTCTCCTCCTCCTCGTCGGTACGCCAAGCTGTTCTCGCCCGAGATCAAGAATGCCTTGAAGATGGCCCTGCCGAAGAGGCTTGAGATTGAGGATTTAGATTGAGTAAGAGCCCTCGGCCTCGGACCCTAATTAGGGCGGGAGCGGGCTCAGCTCGAGTTCGCCCAGCCTCGAAAATCCCACAATCTTTTTCGCGAGGGGGGGGGGGAGGTAGTCGAGGACGACGGCGACGACTGCGACGTGCTGGGGGAGGGAGAGGGGAGGGGCCCGCAGGGGCCTGCGATATTATCTATGTGCCGTCCGCATATCCCGCCACCGTGCCTGGATCGTGGGTTGTGGGTATGAGGCTTGCGCGGTGATTGCTGGGATCTCTTGGGAAGTTTCTGGCGGGCCTCTTGGAGGCAGCTTCGGAGCCTCTTGGGTGCCATTCTTATTCCTCCTAGTTCTCCTCCATCCCCAATCCTCCATGCCGCCCATCCTCATATCCTGCTCCTGCCTCGTCCACTTTCCTCCTCCTCCTCCTCCTCCTCCTCCTCCTCCTCCTCCCCCCCCCCCCCCATGCCCCACTGCTATCCTCGCATTGGGCTCAGACCGATTCGAACGGCAAAGGCTCTCGCTGAGGAGTTCCCTGCCTGCGCGGCCCGCAGCCGTTGTCGCTAGTTGCGCGAGGTCGGCGGGGTGCAGGGCCAGCGCTTGCCATTGTCCCCTGCGCGTTTGATATCTTCGCTTCTCGTTTGCTACTTGCCGTCGTTGAGCTCCCTCCCTCCTCTTGTACATCCTCCTCATCCTTCTCGTCGCCCCCACTTTGTCATCCCTCCTCCTGTGCGTCCTCCTCATCCTTATCGTCGCCCCCGCTTTGTCTCCGATTCGGTTCCACCTTCCGCCCTCATCGCTATCTGCCCCCGCCTCCACTCACGCATGCCCTGCTATCTTGTCTTTACTCCCATGCCAGTCGCATCGGCCCGTTCAAATATGAAATCCTCATCTCGCAACTTTGGCCATTCATGCCAGTCGGTGATTGAGCGAGGGCCCGGGGCGGCGATGCTGTCCTGAACGTTCGCCAATGTGCGTTGTTATTCCAAGTCCCAGGGGCGCGAAGATAACCGCGCTTCGCGCGTCGCGGTCTGGGACAGAGCGGGCGTTTTTCATCCAAAGGGCGACGGCGCGAGGGCGCGAAGATGACCGCGAGTCGCGCATTGTTGGTCGCGACGCGTGAAGTTAGGCGACCTGGAAGTCTCCAATGGACCCCTCTCGGTCCCCGCGCACGTCCATCTTCCAGTTGCCGCGTTGGCCCAAGGCTGTTGGCGGCCCTCGTTGCCCCGAGCCCCGGGCCCAAGGCCCCAGGGCTCCCACCCTGGGCCTGCTCCAGTAGTCAGATGGACGGCTTGAGCGGCTTGAGTAGGCTCCACTGGGAAATGCGCAATTTGTGCAGGCTTCCTCGAACTAGCATGAGAGCCTTGCGCGTTGCGGAGCCCTTCTTTGGTTTGGGTACAGTCAGCCGCTTGTTCGAAACTTGCGGGTTGAGCTATGTGCAAGTCAACGCGTGCGAGATCGACGCCCGCTACAGTACGTATTACCAGAGGATGAAGGACCGCGTCGCCGTTGGGAAGGCCGGGGACATCACGATGGTCGACGTGACGGATCTCGAGGACGCAGACGTTCTTGTTGGAGGCGCCCCGTGCGTGCCATGGGCTAACAACGGACAGCGTTTGGGCGTTGCGGACCCTCGCGCTAAATGTTTCGAGGACCTCGTCTTGTGGGCGATCGAGCTCGGCCAGCGGGGCTGCCTCTTGATGTACGCCTTCGAGAACACGCCCAACATCGCCGAGCGTGAGGACTCAGGGAAGCGCGATCCTTTTCTCGGACGCGCACTTCGACTGCTGCGAGTTGCCCTGCCGTATTTCACCCACGATTGGGTCATCGTTGAGGCGGTGCCGAATATCCCGCACCAGCGGAAACGGGTCTGGTTGCGCGGATTGCGCAACGATGCATTGGTTCGGGGGCGCATTCCCATGCCACTAGTTCTCCGTCCCTGCGAACTCTCACGTCTTCGACTGGCGGACTTGCTCATGGATCTCCCCAGCGTCTCCGTGGCAGATCTGGGCTCGGATAAGCTTCGCACCAACGTGGCGGCATACGAGCAGCAGGTCCGCATCGACAAGGCAAGTGGAAAGGCTGGTGACATCGCCATCTTCGAGCCTAGCAGGCAGCTGAAGGGGAAGTTCACGGCGATCCTGACCTACGATTGCGCTCCTCCTCTCAGGTGCACCGCCGAGTTGTTCCTCTTGTCGGTCGCGGATGTCGATTTGCCCGTGAACCAGCGCAAGTTCCACAGGTACTTGGACCCGAGGGAGCGCGTGCGGCTTCAGGGACACGACCTGGACCTCGCTGAGAAGATCGGGACCAAGAAGCTCATGAACTTCGCGACTGGCAATGCCTTTCCTAAGGTCATGGCGGCCAAGGTGCTCATCCCGATGCTGCGCCAGCTTGCCGCCAGCGGCGTCGCTGGCAAGGACGAGGCCGCGGTCTCCCTTAGCGCCACAGAGTTGACGGATTTGATTGGCCATCGTGAGTTTGAGGTTTGATGATGCCAGGTGCCGAGTAGGGTGCTTAGCGGTAGGGTTGCTGCAGTGCATTGGTGCGCGCGTTTAGTTTGTGACCCCCTCTTGGGTGAGGAGGGCGTTGGCGGGCCCCGTGGCAGGGCCACCCTTTGTAGGCCGGGGGGCTGGGGCAAGTCAGAATTCGGTGAGGGGGGGGGCTAATTCATGTGCAAGATCGAGGTTGCGGGCCACATGGCGCGCGTTCGCGCGCGCGTCGCGGGGAGACAGTAGAAGCAGCATAGCAAGACAACGCAGAACAGCCAGAAAACACAACAGCCAATTTGAAACAGCCAGAGAGAGAGAGAGAGTGTGTGCGTGTGTGTATTCAGTGTGTCGTTCAGCTTCGTGGATAGTTTGTTTCGGCTTGGCGCAAGTTGCATTGCCCTGGTCTTCGGTCGTCTCCAGCGCTTGGTGTTACATCCTACCTTGATTGTAAATGTAGCTGCCTGTTCACAATCGTAGGGCAGGTGCCCACGAGCGTTCACGTCTATGTTCGAGCGTGTACGGTTTCATTTTTCGGCAGTGCGGTGCCGCAATTATGTTTCGAATTGATATGTGTACTTCATGTGTATATAGTGCGCACATATATAAACGGTGCAAGATATACGATTCGATATCTTGTTATTTGCGCAACCATGCGCGAATTAGACGAGTCAATCGACGCAATCGTACAGCGCGCCGAAAATTGAAGCCCACGTCCTCGTCTCGAGGTTCTCTGGCTTTCTGGGCCCCCCCTCGTCGCCGCGGCCTCGCTGGCAAGGGCAAGGCCATGGGCTCCCTGGGTCCCTGAGCGCCACAGAGTTGACGCATTTGATTGTCAATCACGACTTTGATGTTTGATGCTACTGTGTAGGTGGCTTAGCGGTAGGGCTGCTGCAGGGCATTTGTGCACGCGTTTAGTTTCCGACCCCTTCTTGGATGAGGAGGCTTTGGCGGGCCCCGTGGAAGGGCCTCCTTTAGAAGGCCGGGGGGGGGGGCAAGTCAGGATTCGGTGAGGGGGGTTCGGTGCGCAAATGCAGCTGCATGTTCACAATCGTAGGGGAGGTGTCCACGAGCGTCCACGTCTATGTTTGAGTGCGTACGTCTCTCAGCATACTCCTGATCCCCCTCCTCCCTTCTTCCCTCCCTTCCTCCCCGACCCCCCCTCCCCCCTCCAGCGGATGGGCAGGCGATATGCCTGCGACTGGCAGCGGCGGCTCCACTGGCGGCCCCGCTGGCGGCTCCACTGGTGGTGGCGTGGGGTTTCGGAACGAGGGGCCCAGGGCCCAGCATGGAGGACAAGGGAGTTTGGTTTTTTTCTTCCGTTTCGTCGTCGTCCTCCTCAACCTCCCTCCTCATCTTCCTCATCTTGGGCGCCGTCGTCGTCGCGGGGGTTCACGTCGAGGATCGAACCTCGAGCCTCGAGCCTCGAGGATCGGGGTTAGTCTTTATGGCGCTCGTTTCTTCCAGTGGGCTTCGTGTCCTTCGGCAAATTCCCATCGTCCTTGCCTCCCGGCCCCCGCCCCATCCTTCCCCGCCTTTTGCCTGAGCGGGGTAGGGCGGTGAGGGTGAAGGGGTGCCAGAGAACGATCGCTAGGTGCCGATGGTGCCATCAGTTTTGGCATCATGCAGTGCTTGAAGTGCAACGAGCCCGTGCCGGTCGCCAACTCTCAGCCTGCTGGCGCAAAGAACCCGTTGCGGCGCAATTGCAACGAGTGCTGCGCCACCGACCAGCACAAGAAGAGGACCCTGGCAATCCTGAACTACAAGCCACCTCCAGGCGACGCCATCAAGCCCGAGACGCAGGAGAAGATCAACGCGGCCAAGGCGTTCAAGCAAAAGTTTGACAGCTTGAGGGGCACAGACAAGGTGGCGTGGTACTTGACGGAGAAGAGGAAGCGCGAGACGGAGTCCAAGCAGACGAAACGGACGTTCGCTGACACGAAGGCTTTCACGATTCACCAGTCGGGCGATTCGAAGTTGACCGACGACAAGGACGACTACGAGACGTTCGAGGATTGGGCGGTGCGACAGATTGGCCTCAAGAGGTGCGCCAACGAGACGGAGGCTGCGGAGAAGTGGGAGCTCGAGATCGCCAAGCCAGGTGCGAGGGTCACCGAGAGGAGGGGACAAGTCTTGCTCGGTCGTTTCGCTGGCGTCGGGCTCACCAATCGCCATGAAGAGGGGTGCATCACTGGCTTCAAGGGATCAAACAACGTGGACTCCAAGGAGGACATGGAGGCCGCCCAGAGCCACATGGAGGACGCCCGCCTCAAGTTCAGGAAGACGAGCGAGCTGCTGAACGCCAGGGCCAAATGTGAGGCTTCCTCTGCGGGCGGCGCGAAAATCTCCCAAGTGGACTGCCCCGTGGGAGAGGAAGACCTCAACCCCAAGAACAACTCGGGCATGCAGAACGTCCAAAGGGAGCTCGCCAAGAAGGCGGAGGCTCAGGCCGTGCAGGACGCGATCTTCCAGGACCAGGTGGACGAGGCCGTAGTGCGTGAGGCCGAGAAGGAGTGGGCCGTCGAATCTTCCAATGTGTGCCTTCCCACTTCCCAACCTTCTCGTTGACCTCGTCGGCAGTTCGAGTCGAGGGTTGGGCGGCCTCGTCGATTCGGGGTGCTGGGCGGGAGGGGGTGGTGGTGCTGGGGGAGGGGGGCAGCGGGGTCCAGGGGGGGGGGCGGAGGGCGCGCGGCGAATAGGAGGACGAGTAGGAGGGAGGGTGGAGGTGTGGAGGATGCAGGTAGGATGGAGGGTGGAGGTGGAGGTGGAGGTGGAGGGTAGAGGTGGAGGGTGGAGGGTGGAAGTAGGAGGAAGGGTGGAGGTGGAGGTGGAGAGTGGAGGGAGGAGGGAGGGTGGGGCGAATAGGAGGACGAGTAAGGGTGGTGGTGGAGGTGGAGGGTGGAGGTGATGCGCGATGCGCCCCCCATCCCCCCGAGGGTGCGAAGCGCCAGAAGCAATCTGCCGAGAGGGTCGCGTCGGTCGAGAAGCTCAACCTGGAGAGCTCCACGTCCAAGATGGCGAGCGTGCTCATGGACTCAGTGCTGAAGTACCGCCAGCAGGCGGAAGTGGTGAACCAGTGGGCTTTTGTCTTGAAGCAGGGTGGCGAGAGCGCTAAGCTCGATGATTTCGACAACGAGCTCAAGCAGAAGACGGATGATTTCACCGCGGCGGCTAAGAAGATGTCTGAACGGGCGGAAGCAATCACCAAAGAGTTCAATGACTTTGCTGGGGACGATGCCAACACCGCCGAGGCTCTTTTCAACAAGGCGGGCACGATTCCGCAGTTGACGAAGCGCTTCTTCACCGAGGATAATGCTGTGAAGGACACCAAGGACCCATGTCGGGAAGAACGGGGGGTGGCCGTCTAGGGGCTCGGGGGAAGGGCAACGACGCGGAAAGGACGAGGAGGAGGAGGGGGGGATGAGGGCCTGGGCCCGGGGAAGGATGAGGAGGAGGGGGCAGAGGAGGATGGGGACAAGGAGCAGGGGGAAGAGGAGGAGCAGGGCGAGGAAGGGAAGGAGGAGGGGGAAAGAGGAGGAGGGGGAGGACGGAAAATGAACGACGATCGGCGGGCGAAGATGAGGCGTGGCGCCGGGGCCCAGAGGGCGAATATAGCGGAGGAGAGGGTGCGAACGGAGGAGGAGGGCTTGGAGGAGGAAGTAATTGTTAAGTTTACGTTGCATCTTCGGGGGGCCTTGCATGCCCCCCAAATTGGTGTCTTTTGTTGTGCCCGACGCGGGCTCGATGCAGACTCGACGCGGATTTGGCGTGGATTCGACGCGGATTCGACGCGGATCCGACGAGGCCGACGCGGATTCGATACGGATTCGATGCGAATAGGGCAACGACAGGACAGACAAGGCCCCCCGAGGATGCAACATAGTTCAGTGCGTTTTCCATTGAGGATGCTCTGAAGAAGTTGCGCGACTACAAGGACCAGTGCGCCAAGGCTCTGAAAAAACAAGAGGCTGAGGAGGCTAAGCAGAAGGCCCGCAAGTCGGCCGTCCAAGTCGGCAGCGGCATCAGCACAGAGGCGTTGCAGGATCAGATGATGAAGGAAATCAAATCCAACGCCCACTGGGTGGCAAACAACATCAACGCCAATTGGATCGTTGACAAGGTGTTTCAGGAGCCCCCGATCCCAGCGTTCGTCCCCAAGGAGCGCGTGGAGTCGGTCGTCGAGGATCTCAAGAAGATCGATTATTTCAATTCTCAGAAGAGTTGGGTCGCCGCGGCCATGAAGAAGCAGAACTTCGAGTACACGTCGGCGTGCATCGTGAAGGCAGCCGCGGTGGCGACAGTGGAAAAGGCGCTCGTCAAGTTGGGGCAGCCGATGCATCCAGGAGGCCGCACTGGCGCAGGAAAGAAAATCGTGGAGGGGTTGCAGCAGCCGACGTTCTACCAAGGCAAGACTGGCGGTGTGTATGTTGCTCCTGGCACCGACTACGGCATGATCGACACCCGCTTGAATTTGGACGGCGCGGAGATGATCTTCTTGATCAAGAGTGAGGCCGTGGCTGGCGAGGACGTCCGCGCGAAGATAGCGGCCGTGTGTTCCATGTCGCCGAAGGACCTCGTGAAGGCTGCCACCGATCATGGATCGTACTACTACCTGACCAACGGGTCCATGGTCATTATCCCAACGGGCTTCATGGTTGTCATCATCAACACGAGCGACGACCACGCCGTGCACGGGATCCGTTGGTTGTCCATCGGGTCCAAGGTGAACGCTGCGAAGACTGTTGAGGTCTTGGAGGGCTTGACGGCATCAGACGAGAACACCGAAGCAGCGGAAGAGCTCTTGCAGGCGATCCAGGATGATATCGCCGCGGACACGTTCGCCGAGGGAGTGCCGACGGCGGCCTGAAGCCGCGAGGGTGGAGGAGGAGGAGGAGGAAGAGGAGGGTGAGGAGGAGGAGAGGGGGCTGGGGAGATACGGACCTGTTCCTTTCCACTTCCATTCAATCGCTCCTTCGGCGGACGGAGGGAGGAGGGCCGGGGGAGGGAAAGGTCAAGTTGGTTGGGAGGTGGACGATTTCTCCGAAGGGCTTAAGCGAGCCTTGTCCTCCCACTGTCCTCCTCCTCCTCCTCCTCCTCTTCCTCTTCCTCCTCCCTCCTCCTCCTCCTCCTCCTCCTCCTCCCCCTCTTCCCTCCTTCTCATCCTCCCTCCTGCTCCTCCTCCTGCTCCCTCCTCCCCCCCCTCCTCCTCCTCCTCCTCCCCCCCCTCCCTCCTCCTCCCTCTCCTCCCCCTCCTCCTCCTCCTCCTCCTCCTCCTCCTCCTCCTCGCCCCCCTCCTCGGGTCGCCCACGGCCTCGGGGGAAACCGTCCAGTGGGATTCGGGAGCCATTGCTTGATGTCGGTCGGCCTTTTTCCAGTGGGCCACGGGCTGTGGAGCCCTCGGCGTTGAGGCCGCGCGGCCGTCGCGCGGCCGCCGCTGCCTTCGCCTCGAGGCCGCTCTGGCGCAGGCGGTTGGGACGTCGGAGTCCAAAGTGTTCTGGTCCCCCGCAGGGGCGCAAAATTGCAGCATCGCGCTTCGCGCGTCGCGGCTTTGGTACGAGAGTGGCCCTTCACCGAAATGGCATCTCGAGGGCGCGAAGATAATCGCGCATAGCGAGGGTGCAAAGAGAATCGCGCGAGGGTTCGAAGATAATTGCGAGTCGCGTGAAACGCGTTTCTCATTACAGAGTGAGCTCGGAGTGGCGAACGCAGATGTTGTTGCGCCAATCTTTTGGTTGTAGCTTAGGGCGCCATGCGAGCATGGCGATCGTGGGGTAGGCTACCCACGGACTGAGTTTCTCTCGTTTGCAGAGCTCGTCCGACAAAAGTTGGAAAACAAACAAGGACTGCGTGACAGTGGGCCGTTGCACGGTGGAGGGGGAGATGGGGGGGGGGAAGGGGGGGGGGAGGGGGCGGATGGGGGGGATGGGGGGGAAAATGATGATATGACAGGGGAAGAGGAGGAGGAGGAGGCGGAGGAGGGGGTGGAGGAGGATGATAAGAAGGAGGAGGAGGAGGAGGAGGGGGAGGGAGGAGGGGATCGAGGAGGAGGAGGAGTAGGGCGAAAAGGCGGATGATGACGAGGAGGGGGGGAAGAAGGAGGGGGGGGAAGAGGAGGTGGATGAGGAGGAGGATGAGGAGGATGAGGAGGATGAGAATTAGCAAAACGCTTTGTCATGTCGAAGGCGTTGGTTTTCAGTACTTTGGCCTGTCGCTTTCAGGAAAGGCTCTCGGGCCAAGTCGCCGTCGCGCCGATTCCCATGTCATCTGAGCGTTTTTCCTGCCTTGCACTTCGTTTGTGAAAAAAACAGTCGCTGGGGTTCTCGCGTCTCGCGTTTTGGGTCCAGGACTCCTAAGGCGCACGGGGGCACGTCAACCATGCATGGTAGTAGCAGCATCCTCGCCCTCCCACGGGCCTGGCATCGCTCGGACGCGTGTATTTTTCTCGGCGAGGGCGATCGAGGAGGATCCTTGATCTTTTGCAAAAAAAAAAAAAAAAAAAAAAAAAACACGCACGAAACCTAAAAAAAACACAGAGGCTGGACGTCCGAGCGATGCCAGACGGGGCAGGGTTTTGGGGGGGGGGGGGGGGGGGGGCCGAGGGGCAGGCGCCAAAAGGGGGGGCGGCACGCGCGCGGAGGGCCGGCGGGGGGGTCGAGGGCGGGGGGGGGGGGGCGGGGGGGGGAGGGTGCTCTGCGCGGGTCTGCTGGCGGCCTCTCCCCGGGGTTCGCGGGGCTCGGCCTTCCGCGGGTTTCCGAGGCGTTCGGGGGCCGTCGAAGCCCTGCACAGAGAGAGAAAGAGAGAGAGAGAGAGAGAGAGAGAGAGAGAAACAAAAAAAAGAGAGAGAGAGAGAGAGAGAAAGAGAGATAGAATGCGGGAGGCGCTCGGGAGTTCCTGGGAGCGTGGCGGGTGGTGATTCACAGGAGCTGGCAGGAAGCACGCACGAGGATGGTGGCGAGGACGGTGGTGGTGGTGATGCTGAGGAGGAGATGGGTTGGGGGGATGGTGCCGAGGCTGGGGAGGACGAAGATGAAAGGGCAGGAGGAGGGGCACAGGAGCGGACAGGGCAGGGAGGAAACCTACGAGGGAGAAGGTCCGTCCTTCTTCCCCCATCGTTCCTCACGTTCCTCCTGGCCCCTCCTCATCGCTTCTCCTCCCCCTCGACAGAGTTTGGGAGGGGGGGGGGCCGTGCCCCATCGTGTCGTGGCCCCTGGGGGGCCCATCGCCACCCCAGGGTGCCCGTCGTCGTCGTCGTCGTCCGAAGCCGTTTGGCTCGGGGCGCGGGGTGGCAGCCAGGTGGCGGGGTCCAGGGCGGCGCCGCCCCGCCGCCCCCATCGGGGCCCATGCCCGCCCCCCCCGGCCCGGGCAAGTCTCCCCGGGGCCCGTCCGAGTGGCCACCTCCGGAGGATCGAGGCGATCGCACAGAGCGGGGCTCGGTCGCGGTCCCTCCCCTTCCCTCCCCTCCCCTCCCTCCCCCCTCCCTCGCTCCTCCCTCCTCCCTCCCTCCCTCCTCCCTCCCTCCCCTCCCTCCCCTCCCTCCCTCCTCCCTCCTGCCCCTCCTCCCTCCCTCACAGAGGCAGGAGCAGATCAGGGCTCAAGAGACGGGGGTCAATGCAAATTTGGGTGAGCCAGAGCGCTGGATCTTGCAGGCTCCTGAAGAGCCGGGGTCAAATTCACCCAGGCTTGGGCGCAGGATCCTCCAGGATCTTGCAGTATCTTGCAGGGCCAGGGTCGTATTGACCCAGGTTTGGCTGCAGGATCCTGGAGGTTCATGCAGGATCCTGCAAGATCCTGCAAAGCCTGACTGACCCGGTTTGGGATTGACCCGGGTCAGCAGATCCTTGACACATCTCGGAGGCGGCAAACAGGGGGGTGATGACTTGGGTGGGGCCTGGCATCGCTCGGACGTGTGTACTTTTTTCTCGGCGAGGACCCTTGAGGACCATCCTGGACCATCGAGCAACAAAAACACGCACGAAACCGAACAACGCACGGGAAATGGACGTCCGAGCGACGGCAAGTGGGGGGAACATCAAGGCGGGGGCCATGAGATCTCCCCAGATGGCATGGCGCCTCTTCTTATGTCACTGTGTTACCTAGCCCCCCCCCGGTCCGCGCACGTGCCTCGGGGCATGATTTGCATACACCCCTCTCTTGGACGCCCCCCTCTCGGACGCCCCCTCTTGGGAGGGAGGAGAGCCATGTATCGATACTCGTTTTTGTTGGTTGCCTCGGGGGGGGGATAGGAAAAGGGGAAATTACGAAATCTGCTGCATGCAGCTGGTTTCAGCCTCATCGAGGGGCCCATTCCTCGATACATGGCAGCCTCCGGCGCCGGGGGGCGCCGGGAAAATCAGCTACGTGAGCTGATTCTCGAACCCCCCCTTGGCTATTCCCCCCGTCACGCCCGGCCCGAGAGAGGTGCAGGGAGCAGCGGGCTCCGGGCTTCCCCCAGCCCCGAGCTCCGCCCGAACCAGCTGGGCCGCTCACAGAGAGAGCGTGCGCCCGAAGCGGGCACGGGAAGAGTGGGCACGGCTGCCGGCGGCACGCCCTGCTCATTTCCGACGGGGGTCGCTGTCGGGGTCGCCGCAGACGGGGGCCCACTTGACACAGGGGGCCGCCTGCCCATGAGCGGCCGCTGTCGGTTTTGGGCAACGCTTGCTGTTGGTCGGCGGCGAGCGAAGGGGGGGAGTGAGAGGAAGAATACCCTCTGGGAAGCTTCGGAAGCCCCCCGGCCTTCCGAGAAGGCTTCTGAGCCTTCCCCGAGGACGCAGAGAACTCCTCAGGAGGCGCGAGGGCTTCTGAGAAGTCCCGCCGCCTTCTGCGAAGGCCGTCTCCTCCTCGTTTCCATCCCCCACGCTCGCCGCCAAGTTGGGCATCGTTCCATGCCCAGTTCGGGCGTCCAGAGAGGAGGCGGACGACGAGGACTTGGGCGGCGCGCTGGCCCGGCTCCGCGGGGCGCTGGCGGCGAAGGCCCGCCACCGGCATTGCACGCAGGCGTTAAGTCGGGCCTGTCCCCCTACAGGTGGATTCTCGACGAAAAAAAATACCCTAAAATAGTATTAAAAAAAATGCTGCAACAATAATCGGGGGACTATGTTTTGAGTATGTTTTGCCCTTTTTGGGGTATTCTTGGGGTATTTTCATTTTTTTCGTCGAAAATCCCCCTGTAGGGGGACACGCCCGACTTATCGCAGGCGTAGCCCTTCGCTGGAGGGACCTTTGGTGTCGCGCGCGGCGAACAGGTCCGCGTTCGGTCTGGATTCGGGGGTGCCTGGGCTCGTTTCGATTCCTCCGATCTGATTCGATTTCGATGGCTTTCGATTCCGATCGGATTCGACTGGGGATTCGGATTTGGGTTCCGGTGTCTCACAGGAGGCCTACTAGCCTGCCGATTTCCGCCGATTCGGCTTCTCCCGGCTCGGCTGCCGATCTCCGCCGATCCGATTCATGTCGATCGCCGATTCGCCTTCCCGATCCGATCCTGGGCTCTCCTGACATGTCCGCGTTCGGTCTGGATTCCGAGGCGCGAGCCCGCGGATGCGCCGTCGCACGGGCACGCTGCGCGCGGGGAATTTGCGCGAGCAGAGCGCCCCGTGTCCGCGGGGCCGCGCCCCTGGGGGCCCGGCCCGCGAGGCGCTCGCGGGTACGAATACAGTCAAAAACCCCAATAAGGGCGCGCGACGTGGCTCAGGGTACCCTTGCGTCCTTGCTCTTCCTTGCTCCCGCGTCCCTGAGGTTTTCGTCGTCCGCCGCCCCAGAAATCCCAACTTCGGCTTCCAAGGGTCTTGCGTCCTTATCGTGCGTCCTTCTCAGGGTTTTTGACTGTAGGTGCCTTGGCCACGACGGTGCGGGCACATCGTGGTCCGC